AACAGCATCTGGTCCAGAACCTGCCTGTGGCCAGGAGCAGATGTTTTGGCCAGGCACAAGGAGCTCCTGCCCTGTTCTGCCTGTCCAGCCAGAGGGGCTGTGGGAGGTTCCTGGGATGGAGATTTTTTATCTGGGCCACGATGTGCATCAGCCCCCGCCTGGAGCTATTCTTGGTGACTTCATCTCATCTCTTTTCAAGCTCATATTTTTGTTCTCTGCAACCCACTGTGGTGGTGAGAACCACATTGTAACCCCGTCCTGTGTAGAAAGTGAAATCCTTTGTGGTTTTGAACCTAATGATTTCTTTGGGGGCCGCCAGCCCTTGTGTTAGGAGAGAGCGAGCGACCATTCACAGCTCCTGGCCTGGTGTTATCTGCCTGTAGGAACCCAGGCTGGGATTTTTTGAAGAACAGGTTTCCCTTTTAAGCCCCTTTTCCATCTCATGGCAAATGTGGCCTCATTTCTGGAGCTCTCTCCCTTTTGGATGCCCTGCAGAAATCTCACTGACCACAGCTGTGTGAACATGCAAATGCACCTTGTGCTGCTCAGGCTGAAAAAGCAGATGTTGTCTAAAGAGCTCACCACTGATGAGGGGTTTGCCCCCTTTTTTCTGTTCAGAGGGGACTTGATCAGTGGGCTCGGTGCTCCCAGCCCTGTTGAAATCCAGGTGTGTTCAGCACAGCTCAAGGCAAATCAGATTTTACTGCACCTCTTTGACTCTTAGATAACACACTACCTCCAGGCAAATGTGGTATTTTCAAATTTGCATTTGATCTTCAGCATTACCCTCTGGTGCTGATCTTTGTGCAGCCAAGTGCAGGCGTTGACGCTCCAGTACGAGATGCACTCACGTGGCTTTGACTCTTAGAACACCCTCGCCTTCAGACACAGAGCAGCTCCCTGTGCGCCCTGGTGAGCAGATAAACGAGGCACAGGGGGATGAGAAGCAACATCAAATGAAGTCAGGGCCCTCAGGGATGTCCCTGCTGAGGCAGGGTTCAGTGCTGCTCACCTTGATGTCTGCTCCCACCAGCACAACAAGCTGGGGGATGCCAGGGAAGAATCCTGACACATCTCTGTTCCCACCGGTCTCTGATTGGTAACTTTGTGTTTTGCAGCCAAAGCTGGACAAATGGCCAGCTTTCAGTTTGGTTTCAGGTGAACATTAAGGTAAAATTGTACCATTTCCTTCCCTTCTCCCTTTCCAGTGAATTATTTTGCCAGGTAATAATGGAGGACTGGGAATTTACAGGTACTGGATGCAGCAATCAGTAAAACCTGCTTCTGGAGAGGAAAGAAACCTCCCAGACTTGGCTTTGCTCTCCGTTCCAGCCTCTTACACCTGGTGTGGCTCTCACCTGCAGGGGTTTCAGATGAGGATACAGCCCCTGTATTAAGCAGCTGGAGACTTGCAAAGATGCTTCCTTCTGATTTCTGTTTATAGAGAACTTTGACTTGTTTTCACTAGTTTTTTTAATTACTTGGGCATGCAAGTTGGATGTTCCTGTTGCTCTTGAATGAAGGGAAAGCACCCCAATGAACTGCATTCTGGTTTTGCAGATCCTGGTTAAAACGATGATCCGGAAGCGATCCTTTGGGAACCCGTTTGAGGGGAGCAAGAGGGAGGAGAGGCCATTGTCTTCCTCTGGGAACCTGCTGCCGTAAGTGTCACCACCTCACCTCGGCCCCAGAAGACCCCAAAAGCAGCTTTTTCTGATCCTCTGAGGGAGAAATTAAATAGTTGGGTTTTGAAACATAAGGGCCATGACAGCAACATTCACACCCCACCTGTCTGATCTGTAACTGCTTTATGGGATTTTTGTGACATGGAATATCCTGCTGTTCTGATGGGATGAGAAATATCTTTTTATGGCACTTCCAGTCTGTTACATTGGGAGAGATGACACATGCTCAGTGTCCCAAAGATCCCATGGCAGGGAAGGGGCAGAACTGGTGTCTCATGGCCTCCTTTCCCTTCTCCTGAGTCACTCAGCAGCTGTTTGATTTCCTTTGAAAACAGGAAACAAGGCAGTGAAGATAACCTGAAATGCAACGATTTGCCCAACGTGGGAGAGGAGGAACTTCTTTCTTGAGCGTGGACTTTACGGTTCTGCCGAGCAGCTCAATGCAGGGCACGGCACCAAGCGTGACCAGAGCCCAGAGCAAACACAGCATGACATGGCGCTATCTCAGTACAATGCTGGATGTAGAGCTCACATAGCAGCATGTTATCACACCTTATCAGACATCTGATTATTTGCCATAAACGTGGAGCATCTCCGAGCACTTGGACTGCTGACTTCTGGTGGGAGAGGAGGCGCTGGCGGACAGCGGAGAGGTGAGCGGTGGTGGTGAGCAGCAAGAGGGCTTTGCAAAACAAAACCCACAGCAGCCAAAGGAAAGTGCATTTGGAACTGCTTTGAGCTGCTTGTAATGCCAAATAATTTGCAGGGACTGATGCCAGCGTCCCAGGGGCACGATGCCCATGGCATGGCTGTGGGCACGTGCAGAAGGGTGAAGCTTTTGCCAAGTGGCATACACAGCAGTAAAACCAAGCACACGTGTGCACTTTGAGAGTTCACGACCTACCAGGAATGTTGTTGCATCTATTTCTTGTAGTTCTGGTTTGTTTTTAATTGACACCTTTTTAACTGCATGGGAACAAAGCAAAAACCCACCTGTTCAGCTTTTTAAAGAATGCCTACCTTTGTGAGCCAAGTTGTATGAAACAGCATCTTCAGGACGTTCAAAAAGTGAGGTTAATTACCTCCTCAGGTAATTAACACTTTTCCAGAGGCCTTGGTGTGACCAGGACTTGGTAAGTTAGGTATTCAGTGTATGAAAGGAAAAGGTATTTAAGGGCTTAAGTTCAGTTTGAACTATTTTTGCTGCAGACATATGAGTGAAAGGTGGTGTTTAGAATGTTTTAAACAACAGAAGAAGCACTAACAGTTTGTTTCTAAATATTTTACTTGATCTAGGTAGATATACTATAAAATATAAAATTCAGGGTAAAATCCTTCACTTCCATGTACATTACATGGTTTACTACAATTAAAAATAATACAACTTATGCTGGTTTTTAAGTATAGACTTAGGGCTTGCTTAGAATTTAAGATCTTAATGATTAGCTAGTAATTTTCAAAGAAACATTTGTTTTCCAAACTCTTAATCTGGATTCTGGGGCCAATGCTATGTATTTTTTGCAAGTTTGTTACCAGTAATTTGTGAATGCCTGTGGATCAGAGGCTTGTTAGTAAATTAAGTGTATATCTAGTTAATGGATTGTTTCTTACCAAGAGCTCTTTCACCTTCAGTCAGATTACTCTGATTATTTGTGGTGCTTGTACAAAATAATAATCTGCCATGTGGTGGGAGAGACTCTGGCATCCAGACTCACTTTCCCAAGTTCTCTGTGCTTGGACAAAGCTGGAGAACGAGGAGCCAGGGTTTGCCTGAGGAAAGGGGTCACGGTAAGTACAGTTGTTTTGTGGCTGGAGCATGGGACTAGGGGGAAAAAGGTCTGATTTTTTTCCTTTCTCAGTCTGATGTGGTTGTGTGACCTTGAAAGAGGCATTTGATGTACCTGACAAGGAGTATTTGAGTCTCCCAAGCTTGTGAGGGACTGTTAAGGTGTAATTCTTTGCCCTCAGGAAGAAGGCACTAGGAGACTGCCAAATGTCTTGATTAATGGTAAAGTCTCTGCCTGTTAACCCTGGCCTTGGATGCCCTGCCTTTAGAAAGTGACCATTCCCTTGTCTTCCTTTATTTTATCCTGGACAGCACAAGTAGCAGCGTGCCAAGGTCCTTGGCCCTGCTGCAGTCAGACTTGGCCTGGTAACTCCTGGTTAAGACTGGTTTTTGTTAGAGCCAGGACAGCATTAGCAAGGGTGCAGATGCCTACCCAAACTGTCCCTGACACCTTTTGATCACCTGAAGCGATGTTCCCCCTAAATTGCAATTTATTATGGAAGCATTGTGCTGCTGGCCTCTTTCCAAAGCCAGTGAGGACAGTTGGTGGTTTAGGAGCAATACTATGGAGTTTGGAGCCATAAGACATGCACTGTTTTCCTCCCATTTCAGTCCGAGGCTATGCCAAAGCCCTGCAGCTTCAGCTATGGGAAAACCAAACAGGTAACTTGGGGGCCAGCACTATTGCAGCTGCCTGCTCCCCCTACACAGGACTTTTCATTGTGGAAATGTGTGTGAGTGGGCAGCCTGGTTCTCTAACCCTGCAAATGGACTTGATCTGCCAAAAAATTGTAAAAAGCTAGGGGATCCAATTCTTTGTAGGTAGTGCATAGTAGTGTGTGTGGTGTGTTTGCTAGAGGTGTGTTGTAGAGATCTCTGTGCTGCCCATCCCTGGTTGTGGTTTGTCAGGTGAGCCAGTTTACATTGACCCAACAGGTCTGCCAGGTTTAACACAGCTTCTCAACAGCTGTACCAGCTCCCCAGAGCCCAGCCAGTCTCTGGGCCTCAGATACTCCCACTGCTCAGTGTCTGCCTGCCTGCATGGCCTTGGTTCTAAAGGATGCTACACTCAGCACTTCCCCAAGGTGCTCTCCAAACTGAGTGTCCCTCAGTGCAGGCTCTGCTGGGGCTGCAGCCAAATGCACATTTGGAAAGAAATGCAATGTGGATTTTTCTGGTTGGTCAGCTCTGTTGAAAGCTTAAAGCGTGGCCGTGTGAGGGAGATCTCTCTAAATGCATGACCTGTTAGAGAAGCTGTACTGTGTATATAAACCTGCTCAGTTCCCCAGCTGCTGTTCCTTAGTAGTAATGCTGGCTTTCTCCTTATAGTGAAGTGAACATTTTGCTTGTGCCTTGGAACTGGGCGATAGCTTGATTTCCCCAACTCCCTTCCTTCCAAGCAAGCCCGGTGCTGACTGTGGGCTATTGCTGGGTACTAAGCCTTTCTGGCTCTGAAAGCACACAGGAAAGTGCTAAGGGGAAACCAGGCCTCTTATCTGAGTAGCTTTCCATGGTGGTCCCCTCTTACCTATCAGGCAATTGATCTGTTTCTTTTCTAAGGTCCTGAACTATTCCTGATTTTTATACTGTTTGTTTAATGACCAAGGCTTGTGTTTCACTCCTACCCCTTTATTATGCATTTAACTTTATCAGGTGTATCAAGTTTAAATACTGTGTATTTACCACTTTTAAATTATATTACCTAAGAAGAAAGAATAAACCAACAACTAAGTGTTTTTCCACACAGGTGTTCAAGCTTCACTGTACAAGTTAAAATAAATGACATGCAACCAAACCCAGAGTTAATTGATCAAGTGGAACCATTATTCTGTTTGAGTGGTCTTTATCAAGCTGTGAAAGTGTGGTTGTTGGAAGAGAAATCTGAAAGCACTCTCCTATGTTAGTGAAGTCTGGTGCTCTACCATTACTGGGGACCTTGGGCTAGGATGGGACCACAGCAGCTCGAGCACTGTATAATCCAAACTGAGCATTCACATGCACAGACTGGAGTGCCCTTGCAAGGGCACTCTTTGAGCTGGGACACAACTTAGTGCTCAGCTGCAGCAGGCACATAAAGAATAAAACAAAATGGTAATGCTGTGGTTTACCCACTGTGCTGCTGGAGAAAGGCAGCCGGGATGCTGGGGATATGGAATAGATCCTGGGGCTCAGTAACACCACAAAAGGTTCAGAGAAAGGGAGGACCTGGACTTTGTGAGTCAATGTGATTACTAGAGGTGCTCAAAGCCAGGTGAATATAAAAGCCAACAAATCCACTTCAATCAAATTGTGTCAACTGTGTTAAATGCAGCAGCCCAGACACAGTTGGTGTGGCAAGCAGTTGGTACCAGCACTCAGATAAAGACCCTAAGATCTTGGCCTCTGACTTACAAGTCTTTTCCCTTGGAGAGGGTTTAAGGCAACAGACATGGACAAGGTGTCAGGAGAATCAGGCAGAGCAGCTGTAGTTGCAGCAGCACTTCTGCTGAGAGAATGAAGAGACAAAACCCACAGAGCCCTGGCTTTGATAGCCCTCCACTAACACTTGATATGTGGGGAGAAAAACAATCAAAACCCAGCCTGCAGAACTTCAAGAGGGCTGAGGGAAGGTAGTATTTTATTAAAGTAAATTTTAAAGTAATAGCATAAAAATTAGACAAAACAGAAGAAAAGTTCTGTAACCAGTAAGCCATTTATCACAGCACAATGGAATCAGACTCTGCTTCATCTTGGTCCGTGGCCACTGGAGCTTGAAAACCCCAGTGAAATAGTAGGTACTGGCTCAGCTAATGTTCACAATCCTTCAGGGAAAGAAAAGTGACAACAGCAAGGAGCTGCTGTCCCAAGGTTAGGCACCTCCTGGCAATGGCAATGATCAATCTAAGGAAGAATCTGTGCCTTTTGTCCTGCGCCCTCTGCTATCAGTGAGCTCAGGGACAGGACTGGCAAAATGATGATGCCAGAGCTGTCTCTGTCCCAGGCTCAGCCAGTGCAGAGGTCTGGCATAAAGTACAGTTTTCCCTCTGTGTTTAGTGCAAATAACCTGGAAAGACAGCAGACAAGGAGCAGACCCAGTTGTTCACCCTGGGACTGGCTCCCAAGTAGTAAAGAGTAGTGAAGATTGTCCCTTTCTCAGTTTGGTTCCCCACTTCCAGCAGGGAGGGGGTGGTCTCATGGCAGGGTCAAGAAATGTTCCCAGCAGCGCTTTAGAGCGGCAGTTGGTCCTGCAGCACCAGGAGCTCAGGGGTCTGTTCCATAGGTGTCACCAACTCCCTGCAAGGATCAGAGATTACAGTTCTCTGCCAGAAGCTCTCCTTTCTTCCCCTTCCAATCACATAAAATCCTTTGCCCAGGAAAGCTACTTCCTGTTACTCAGACTTTACTCTTCCAGTGGCACGAGGTGTTATAATTGAGAAATCTGCCCTCTGCAGCCACAATTCCCACCAAGCACAGGCCTGTAGGGCCGAGTTCTGTCCTCCAAACCAGTCAAGCAACCAGCTAAATCCTACTGACCAAAGAGATCATTTGATCCCTGGAGGGAGCTGTAACTGTGGCTGTCAGCACACTGCTCTCAGAAAATACCAACCCATTGAATGATTTTTCTCACAACTGCAGGAACCCCAAAAGCCAAGAAGGAAGGATTTGATGGGAACAGGGCTGTTCCCTACAGCTCTTAAAAGGAAAATGCCAATGACTGCAACCCAAAAAGGAGGTGCAGTAGGAGCATGACAAGTTCTTGAACATATATTTTCCTCTCCAAGACTGGTTACCCAGGAAACATGACAATATTTGTTTATAGTGCTCTTCCCTGCAGCAGCTTTGAGTTAAAAATTAGCTTCTCTGATGAAGACAAAGTTTCCCTAGAACTGTGGTTCCAAATCCCCGTTTCTACATCCTGTTTCAGAGTCTCTGCAGAGTCAGAGGAGGAAGCAATTCTGCCTTTCCCCTGCCTTCATTGATGCTTACCAGTTCATAATCCTCCACATATTTGTACTTCTTCTCCCGATAGAAGTATCTCTTCTTCATGCAATACAGAACAACAATGTCACACAGCACTGTTGCCTAGTGGAGATTGAAAGAGCTTAAGACAGGGATCCTCACAACTGAGGCACTACTCCAGAGCAGAGTCCAAGTGCAGACAGTGTCACTTACCACACCAAACAGCGCTAAGCCAGAGCCGATGTTAATCATGGTAGGAATCACATCAAATTTTCCTGCCTAGAAGACAGTTACAAGCCTGAGCATGCTTTTCAGCATCTCTGAAAGTTCTGAAAGTTCTCAGTTCACTACAAGACCTCCAGGAACTGTCACCCTACCTTTCCAAACACTATGATATCAAAGCGGATGCCATAAGCTTTGACAAGTGTCCGTGATTCAGTGCCATCACTATTCCTGTAGTATTTTGCAAACCTGCAGAAAAGACAGGTCAGAGCTTAACTGGAAATTCTGAGGTTGCTCATGTGACCATGCAACATCCAGGTGTGTTCCCCATCCCAAGAGGATGGGCTGAACGTTGGTACTTCCAGTTACAAGCCCGAGTGATGGAGATTTCATGCTGGCAAGCTCATATAGGAGAAAAACCCAAAGCAGGTGAATTCAAGGCAACTGAGCACCGTAAAATGAGGAAACTTGCAAGGCATAGGAAGGGGAGAAAGCAGCTTTAGCAGGGGAGCAGAAGGACTGACAGAACAAAGTCAGCCACACGAGAGAGGCAGGCAGGGGCTGCAGGAGACCAGGCAGCCACGAGAGGGCAGGGCCGGGAGCACCGCGCGGCTCGGCCCGGCACACAAAGGCTGCTCCGCGTTCCACACTGGGTGACAAACCACAAGGAAAAGGGATGAGAACAAATAAGTGAGATCAGACTTACTCTGCCACGTGGTTGACTAAGCCGGGAGGAAGCAGAGAAGAGGGTGGAAGAGAAAAGGAAGGAATGGTAAGGGGCTGTACCAGAGTCTGGAATTAGCAAGAGCATTTCAGATCCAGCTGTGATATCCTCCAGACGGTCCAGACACCCCGATACCTGCCGGCCCAGCACCTCCCAAACACACATTTGTGCTCTGCACAGCTCCTCAGCAAATTCATCCAAGTTCCACCCAAAGATCCTCTGTCCTAAGCAAGATTTTGTTATTCTACAAATAACAGCCCTGAGCTGTGTTTCCTCACAAGCAGGAATCTTGCAAGGACCTTGGCAAGGTGGCTAATCCTTATTTAATATTACAGTCTGAGTCTGGATGCAACCAGCTGCCAGCTCTGTGCTGGTGTTTTACTGGAAGTGCTGGACGTAGCTGTACTGGCCAGAATGTGGATGTGGTGGTGCATGCCAGGATACTCCTGGTGCAGATATGGTCTTCAGCTGACAGACACTGCTACAGGTGAGTTTTTCCCCCAGGCAGAGTGAAGGATATGCTTCAGTCTCCCAGCCCCACCTCAGTCCCCTCAAATTCTGCCCTATCAGCACACCCTGAGACAGTCAGTTGTCCCACTGCCATCCCATTTATCAAACAGCCACCAAAAAGCTGATGCAAACATGACTTGGGCACTCTGACACCATCAGTGGAGCTTCAATGACCTCCCCCCTGTGCTGTGGTTTGCACACAGTGAGGATCCCACCTGCTCTGTCTTACAGCATCAAAAACGCTCCAAGCACCACTGAAAGCCCCAAACTCCCACAAGTGCCAGTGGCAGATGGAGCTGAGGCACCAGGTGCCCTCCACAGCCACATTACCTGAAGTTGTAGCCGGGTGAGACGGTGTGGGCAGAGTCCTTGTTGTCGAGGCGCCTGAAGGAATACTTTGGCACACAGTGGGAAGCAGCTCTGTCCAGGTTGCAGTCCCAGTTGATCTGCAGTGCCATCACTCCACCCTGCCCAGTGGAGGAGAGGAGGTGATGGGCAGCCCAAAGTGCATGGCCAGCCCAGCACCAGGCTCTCTGCTGACCAGGTCCTGATTTACTGGCTCTAATCCCTGGCTCAGTCTAATACCCTTTCCTGCTGCTACAGTACCTTGTACATAACCCCACCCAAACAAAGCAAGGCCAATCATTGGTTAAATAGAATGCACTCCAGTCCCTCTGGCCAGAGCACTCTCCATCCTGCAGCTCATCTGTGCTCTGTGGCTCATGCCACGAGGCAGAGGAGACAACCCCCCACCACTCCTTTTTAAAAACAGCCGAAGCTCAGGAGAAGGGTCTGCCAAATACCTCCACAGCCATTTCCTGGAAGTCCTGCCCTGCAGCTTCAACTATTTTCCCTAAACGGAAGATGGGGCAGAAGGGATCAGTCTGGGCATCATAGACGCAGTTCTTGAGGTAGGTGGAGTTGATGGTGGGGAGGATGTTTCGCCTGCAGCAGAACAGAAAGAGAAGAGTTGTTGCATCCCCTTTACTCCCAGGAGACCAGACAGTGTGATCACCCTCTCCCTATTTACTTGCTGAAGTTGAACTTGCGGTACCAAATGTTGTTCTTCACCAGAAGGGTGAAGTTCTCAGCTTCTCGCAGGAACGCTGGCCTACAAAACACAAGGAAATATAAACAGGACTCTGCAGAGTTCTTGGTGCTCATCTCCTCAGCTTTTCCCAAGAGCATGTCAGTGGCAGAAGCATCAACTGTGTACCAGGATCCTGCTCTCAGGAGGGGCACTGCAGGAAGACAGAGCACTCACTTGGGTATGTGATAGTCATCCTCCACAGGGCACCACGCAAAGACTTCACAGGTCTTGATGCTGCTGTTGTATGGAACACACTCCCCGGTCTGGATGCCTGGAAAGACGTGCATGGAGGTACTACTGAGCAAAACCAGGCAGTATTTGACCTGTGACACTCCATATGGTGAAATCAGTTTTCCCAGAGGTGAAGTGCCACTACTAAACCCCACAAACCCCACATTATCTTCCATTGCAAGTGTCACTTCAGAGAAAGAAGTATTAGGTGCTTTTCCTGAGTCAAATCTTCATCCATGTGAAATACTGCTTCAGGGACTGAAGGCCATGAAAAAGCTTCACACTGTTTGCTAACTCACCAAAGCCCACATCTACTCAACATCCACCCAACACAGTCTAAGTTCATTTGGTCTAAGTCCACCAGAAGAAAAATCTGAGCTTCTGCTTCAGTTCTCTTACATGTGAGAGAAAGAGAACAAGGAGACTGAAGTGAAATGGTGCTTCCTTCACAGCAGGGAAGGCACAGCACAGAGGCACCACAGCCCAGACTGAAAGGAGCTTTTGCAGCAGGTTTCTTACCACTGCTGTGGGTGCTGACATATCCTGGAACACAGTTGTTCTTCACCTCGCACTTTGTTTGATCGTCTGGGAGCTGGAGAGGAACAATAGTTACAGAAAACTCTGAGAACCCTCTCCCCCACACTCCCACCCACACAAGGCAGGATTAAAGCAGATTCTGCACCTACCTCCGGGCAGTGGCCTTGGCTCTGGTTCAGTGTAAGGATCACATTGGTCATGACAAACACAGTGTTCTCACCCTGAGCATGCAAAACAAGAGGGAAACTTAGGAGGGACAGTCTGCAAAGAGCATCCAAGGCACTGCAGCAAACAGCTTTGTTGTCAGAGCCCAGGTGGCCCAGCAGAGGGGACTTGCCCTGGACACTGCTGGTGCAGTGCTAAAGCAGCAGAATCCTATGTGTATCACCTGGTGCTGCTGTGTTTAGCCACAGGAAGGACTGTGGCACTGGCAGCTCCTTCTGTCCTCCCACTCGGCCCAAAGTTCCTCAATCACATTACAAAAACAGCTCACACAGCTCCTCAGGGGAGTTGTAAGGCAGGTGCAGAAATAGAGCTCCAGCTGCAAGTCCGAGCCAGCTCCCACTCTTTCTTTTTGCAATCTACCAGTCAGGAATTTGCCCAGTCCTGTTCCTTCAGGGAGCACTATTTTCATTACTTTACTTTCACTACTTTCACATCTGTATGACTCCAGATCTGTCATCTGCTTCCGCTCCGCTGATACGCGAATATGACCACTCAGCCAAAATCTGGCTAAATCTGTCCTTTTTTCTGCACCACATGTCATGCACACAGAGGGACCCATGACCAGCAGCTTGGCTGTGCCTGCCCAGCCCGAAGGCCACCACATGTGGCCCACACAGCACAGATTCCCACAGATACAGGCAATCAGTAACTACAGCAATGCTTCCTGCTCACTTCTGCATCAGGTGACCTGCAGGCTGTTCCTGTGGCTTCTGCCAACAACTTAACTTGGGGTTGTTTGCTTTAGAAAGCATTAAGAAAGATGACAGGTCGTTATTGTTGCAGATTCTTCCTGATGCCAGCAAAGTCGTTCTCTGGCAGGACCCGTGCTGTTGCAAGTCTTTGTGGGCACCATGGACAGTGGGATCAGTGCACCCTCAGAGAAGGAAAGGCTCAAGGAAAACTTAGAGCCCATTTGAGTACCCAAAGAGGGCTTATAAAAATGAGGGAGGGGGACTTTTTACACAGTCAGATCGTATAGGGGGAACAGTTTTAAACTAAAACAGAAGAGATTTAGATTAGATATTAGGAATTCTTCCTTGTGAGGGTGGAGAGGCCCTGGCACAGGTTGAGAGAAGCTGTGGCTACCCCTGGATCCCTGGAAGTGTTCAAGGCCAGGTTGGGCAGGGTGTGGAGTAATGTGGGATAGCAGCCCTGCCCACAGCAGAAGAGTGGAACAAGATTATCTTGGTTGCTTCCAAACCCAAACCATTCTACAATTCTACACAAGCACGCACATAGACACTTTTCTTGTAATAAGCTTCCCCAGGGCACGGGCTCAGCATGATCTGCAACAAAGCAAAGCTGCTCCAACTCTCAACGGACTTTTGCAAAGCAATAGCTGCTTGCTAGAAAACCCTCTTTCTGCATGTGAAAGTGGTTAATACCTGAGGAGGGATGACATAATCAGCTACATCCCAGATCCTGGCCCCCAGGGTGGATGTGTTTGTCAGTGTTACACCCTTGACCTTCGTGGTTACAGAACTGACCACAGAGTCTGTTTCCTGGTAACCCTTTTCCCACAGAAAAACCCACCTGAAAGAGAAGGATTGCAAGAAACAATAAATAAACACCGTTAATAAGTTCAGGTTGGAATTTCTCCTTTTTCCATATTACCTGAAAGGGCCATTCCAGACAGTTTCACAACTTTTCCTTACAAGAGAGTCACAAGATTGGCAATCTCCTGTCTGATTTTTGGGGTGATATTTTTTACTTTCAGACTGATTGCTTTCGACAATCACCACCTGAGATGGTCCCA